AATCGAGAAAAAAATTTCATAAAAATCGGAGTAATATATCATATAGCTGCCATAGGAAAGATCGAAAAATCTATATAGAAATAACGGAAATAAAATTATTACCTCGATGTTTTTCATCAGACAATCATGATTTTTGGAATATAGAGTTTTCTTATGAGTCTTGAGTTACAAATTAAATTTTATCAAAATCGGACGACTATATCATATAGCTGTCATATGAACAATATGGAAAATTAATAGAAAAATCGTCATAGATTAGATGCTGTTTAGCCTTTTTGTATTTTGTTAGACATATTTAATGTCTGCAAGGGTATATAAGCTTCGGCCTGCCGAAGCTAGCTTCCTTTCTTGTTTTAATTAAAAAAAGTCAATGTATCCAATTTTTTTGAATGCTAACTTTTATAAATGGGGGATTCCCAAAAATTCAAATGTTTTGAACATGTTAAATTGTCTTAAACACTGTTAAACTATTGAAATTGAGAAAAATTTCACTAAGCTTGGAAAATAAAATTGTGGAAATGACTAGAGAGAGCAAGTCAGCTCGGGAAATTGCCAAGTCACTGGGTATTTGCCACAGAACTGTTCTCCAAGTCAGAAAACGACGCAAAGTGACCGCGCATGAGCCGCCTAAATCGGGAACACGCCTCCTAACGGATAGGGATGCACGAGCTATGGAGCACCACATGTAAGGATCACAAGTTCTGGACGGTAGAAGACTGGAAAAAGGTGATGTGGTCAGACGAGACCAAAATAAACCGTTTTCAGTCCAATGGTAAGGAGTACTACTGGCACCGGCCCATTGAAAAATTAAAAAAAACATTAGGTTAAGGCAGGTTCTCACCTTGTAGGGCCGAAAAATTGACATTTTTAAAAAAAAATTGTTTTGAGAAAATGGTTAAAGATAAAAATCTGAAATTTGTAACTTTATTTGAAAACATATTTATTTTGCGAAAAAAAAATTCAAAATTGAAAAATCATAAAAGGGGCGGGAGGGGGCGTTCCTCAGTTGCAACATTTCGGCAAAAAGGTGTCCCGCTTACGGAAGTGATTCAGCCAAAACGGGTAATCGGAAACACAAAAACCGAAAAGATTCTGAAAGTGTACAGTACTGTGCATAAAATGAACTAGGATCAGAAAAAAAAATGAAAATTGCAAAAGTTAAAGCTAATAACTAAAAATTCGATTTTCGCGCTTTTTTCTCACTAATTACACAGCCACACAAAAAAAAAAATTTTTTCGGGCCTGGAGGTCAGACCATGTTTACTATATGTTTTCGGGGTCGCTGAATCCGAATCCGTTGTCCAAAAAACTCCAGGTTTTTTTGATGTTATGTCGTAACCCTGACATTCTGGAGTTTTTTAGACCTCAGATTCGGATTCAGCGACCCTGAAAACATATAATAAACATGGTCTGACCCACGGACTCGAATATAATTTTGTATGAGGTTTTTTGAGGTTATGTCAGAACCCTGACGTGCTGGGGTTTTTGGACCTCGGATTCGGATTCAGCGACCCCGAAAACATATAGTAAACATAGTCTGACCTCCAGACCCGAAAAAATTTTTTTTTGTGTGGCTGTGTAATTAGTGAGAAAAAAAGCGCGGAGGAGGAGGCTTGATGGTGTGGGGCTGCTTTACGTGGTTGAACAGTGGCCCGTTGGTGAAAATCGATGGGATAATGAAGAAGGAAGACTATCTTCGTATATTGGAGACCAATCTTCATGAATATATTGAAAAATGTGCTTATCCCATTGAGGAAATCACTTTTCAACATGATGGAGACCCCAAACACACGGCTAAAATCGTGAAAAATTGGCTAGGTCATCAAAGTTTTAAACTTATGCAGTGGTCAGCTCAGAGTCCGGATCTTAATCCTATTGAAAATCTATGGGCTCTGCTAAAGAAACGGCTGGCAAAGTATGAGAGTCCACCAATAGGATTTGATGAACTTTGGGCCAGGATACAAGCGGAATGGAAAAGTATTCCAAATGAAATGATGCAGAAATTGGTCGAGAGTATACCCAAACGTGTTAAAATGGTAATTAAAGCTAAGGGTCTTTGGACCAAATATTAAAATTTGAATAAAAACTACAAAAAAATCCAAAACGTGCAAAAGTGGATACATTGCCTTTTTATACCCTTGCAGAGCAAAAGGGTATTATAATTTCAGTCAGAAGTTTGCAACTCAGTGAAGGAGACACCTCAGACCCCTTAAAGTATATATATTCTTGATCAGCATCACCATCTGAATCGAAATATGTATGTACGTCTGTCCGTCGATCCGTCGCACAGTGGGCCCAATGAGACATTTGGCGGAATAAAAGTCCAAAAAAAATTGTTCAATATATGGTTACATTTTTTTTTATTTCAATGGTAACACTCTATGAAGCTCACAAAAGCTTGTTTAAAGCTTTCAAATGGGTGTTGTGATCAATTGTGAGCTTTCGAAGTAATCAAATGTTTATTACGTGTGTATGCAAATTTTTAAGGTTTGTTTTCAGTCGTGTTTAAAAATTTGAAAAATATACATACATATTGACGATTTTTAATTGAAGTAACCATTGTTTTCGTTAAAATAAGGTATGTACTAAATGTAAATAATGTGTTCGTAATTTATCTATGTATATATCTATGTATGCTTTTGAAGTAATGATTTTTAAACGCTTTACTGTCTTCGTTGGTCTGTAACTAATGTGATTCAATCATATTCATGCTAATTTTAGTATTTGTGAGAAGTATAAGTCCTTGTGGTGTCAAAATGTCCAAAATGAGAGCCAACTACGGCCAATTCTGAAGTCTATTACACTTTATAGGTGGAATGTCAGTCTCTAGGAGACGTCTTTTTGCCTTGTGGCTTAGCGAAAGTGTGGCAGAAAAAATTTTTTTATAATTTTAGAAAATTTTTTTATTATTTTCATATAATTGTTTATTGAATTTAAAATGTTTAAAAATTTATTTTTTGAAAGACTATAAAGTTACGAAATTTACTATATTTTTTATATGAATTGTATGAGATTTACTTGGGGTAACACATTAATATTTTCAGAATATGTATGTCAAGAATACATTAAAAATATTAAGTTAAAATTTTCAATAAAATATCAATTCATTTACCCCAGGTATTATTAAAATTCCGCTAGCAGAGGCACTTGGCCCACTGTGCGTCGGTCCGTCTGTCCGTCTGTCTGTTTCTATGTAAACTAGTCTCTCAGTTTTGAAACTATCTTGCTGAAACTTCCCCAAAAGTTGTGTATATAAGTCGGAACAAGCCGGATCGGCCGACTATATCGGATAGCTCCAATACAAGAGAATGAAATAAAAAAATCTTACGCCGTTGTTTTTGATCAGATCGACTTGATTTCTTCCATTTGACATTTTTTAACTACTATTGAATTTCGGATTAAATTTTATCAAAATCGGACAACTCGATCATATACATAGCTGCCATAGGAAAGATCGAAAAATATATATAGAATTAATGGAAATAAATTGATAACATCTTTTTTTTATCCCACGAGCATGATTATTTAAATATAAAGTTTTTTAACAACTCTAATGTTGAGAAAAAGTTTCATAAAAATCGGACAGCTATATCTTATAGCTACCATAGGAAAGATCGAAAAATCTATATAGAAATAACGGAAATATAATGATAACATCGTTGTTTTTTATTAGATAAGCATAATTTTTGGAATATAAAGTTTTCTAACAACTTTTGAATTACTAATTAAATTTGATCAAAATCGAAAAACTATATCATATAGCTCCCATATGATCTCTAGTCGAAAATATCGAAAATGAATAGAAAAATCGTCTAAGCTTCGATGTTGTTTAGCCTTTATGCATTTGGTTCGACATACATATTTGATGACTGCAAGGGCAAGCCGAAGCTTATATACCCTTGCAGTCATCAAATATGTCGAACAAAATACATAAAGGCTAGCAACATCAAATCTATGGCGATTTTTATATTATTTTTATATTGTTCATATGACAGCTATATGATATAGTCGTCCGATTTTGATGAAATTTAATTTGTAACTCAATAGTCATTAGAAACCTCTATATTCCAAAAATCATGATTGTCTGATGAAATACAACGATGTTATAATTTTTTCCGTTATTTCTATATAGATTTTTCGATCTTTCCTATGGCAGCTATATGATATAGTACTCCGATTTTTATGAAACTTTTTTCTCATTATAAGGTTATTAAAACTCTAGATGTTCAAAAAATCTTGCTCGTGCGATAAAAAACAACGATGTTATCAATTTCTTTCCATTAAATCTATATAAATTTTCGATCGCTCCTATGGCAGCTATATGCTAGTGTTATCCGATTTTGATAAAATTTAATCCGAAATTCAATAACAGTTAGAAAACGCCATCTTGAAGAATTCAACTCGATCTGATCAAAAACAACGGCGTTAGAATTTTTCATTTCATTCCCTCGTATGGGAGCTATCCGATATAGTCGGCCGATCCGGCTCGTTCCGACTTATATACTGCGTGCAATAACTACACACCTTTTGCGAAAGTTTCAGCAAGATAGCTTTAAAACTGAGAGACTAGTTTACATAGAAACAGACAGACGGACAGACAGACAGACAGACGGACAGACGTACAGACGTATTCCGACTCTGCTCGTGATGCTGATCAAGAATATATATCCTTTATGGGGTCTGAGGTGTCTCCTTCATTGCGTTGCAAACTTCTGACTGAAATTATAATACCCTTTGCTCTTCAAGGGTATAAAAAGCTTATTAGCTGAACAAAGTTCCTTTCTATGCTAGAGCTGAAATTATTATTATGGATATTGGAGTGGAGATTTTGTTTTTATTGAAAAAAAGAAACAAATCCTTATTAGTATGTATTACCTTATAATCCAAAAAATTAATTCATTTTTGGAAATAACTTAGTTCCTAGTGCTCAAAGAAATTTAATAATAACTCATTTTTTCAGCTTATTGAGTACTAAAATATTATACGTCTGTTATTTTCAGAGAATCCTAAAAATTACGAAATCAATTTTGAATACAAGAGAGGACCCAGAGGTCGGATCGTTTCTCAAAAAAAGTTATTCGGAAGACTCTGAAGCTGAATCAAATATTCTTTTGGAAGATAATCTACTTAACAGCCTTGATAATTGGCTTGAAAGGTTGTTTGATGGAAAAACCCAAAAATATTACATAAACTATTGGCCTGACTTTCCGAATAAGTAATAAACTCCAATATTTAAAAGAAAGGTAATTTACCTATTTATATGTATAATAACCAACCAAACGTTTTATGCGTACGTATTAGTGAAAGCTTTAATAATTTAAACAAATATTTGGGGGGTTAACTAGAAATTGAACAACTTAGCGCTGCTCAACACTAAAATTAAAAACAAAAAAAACCTTAAGATAAGGGGTTATATCCAGTTGCATTTTTGAATAAATCGAAATATTTTTCGTTTTTTGCTTGTTTTGAATGTACATACATAAATATATTTGAGAATATTGTGTGAAAATTTCAAAGTAATCTGATAAATAGTTTGCAATGCAGTGAAGGAGACACCTCAGACCCCATAAAGTATACCTATATTATTCTTGATCAGCATCACGATCAGAATCGAAACACGTCTGTACGTCTGTCCGTCTGAAATCCGTCGGAATGAATTAAAAAATTCTCACGCCGTTGTTTTTGATCAGATCGACTTGATTTCTCTTAGATGGCGTTTTTTAACTACTATTCAATTTCGGATCAAATTTTTTCAAAATCGGATAGCTCTATCATATAGCTGCCATAGGAAAGACCGAAAAATATATATACCTATAAATAATGGAAAAAAAATTATAACGTCGTTGTTTTTAATTTCACGAGTATGATTTTTAGAACATCAAATTGTTAAATACCCTTGCATTGAATAACAAATTTCATAAAAATCGGACTACTTTATCATATAGCTGCCATAGGAAAGATCGAAAAATCTATATAGAAATAACGGGAATAAAAAGATAACATCGTTGATTTTCATTACACAATCATGATTTTTTGAATATAGAAATTTCTAAAGACTCTTGAGTTTAAAATTAAATTTCATAAAAATAGGACGACGAAATCATATAGCTGACATATGAACAATAGTCGAAAATATGGAAAATAATAGAAAATCGTCATAGCTTCGATGTTGTTTAGCCCTTATGTATTTGGTCGACATATTTAATGACTTCAAGGGTATATAAGCTTCGACTTTCCGAAGCTAGCTTTCTCTTTTGATTGTACATCTGATAATTTTAATCAGAGATATCTTCCTCACCGCCATACACCTTTTTGAGATGGACCTTCAAGAGATCTTTTAAAGGATCGACGGAACCCAATATTGTTTTTTAAATATGAATTCTTAAAATACTTTAAATTCTTTAATTTTTCATATAATACATGTATGTACATCTATATTAATACTATAAAGAGGTAAAATTTGTTTGTTTGTTTGTTTGCAACGAATAGGCTCCGGAACTACTGGTCCGACTTAAAAAATTCTTTCCTCGATAGAAAGCTACATTATCAAGTAGTAACATAGGCTATAATATATTTTGAAAAAAATTCGGGATCCGTAAGAAAATTGCAATATTGTCGCATATAAAGTGAGTTGCTACCTCATCACACTGACAAACACACGCTACCATGGTATTTTAACTCAATTGTTGTGGTTTTCATTTATCATTTCCAAGTAAATTAAGTTTTGTCACATATTATGCAAACCTTAGTGTTCTCTGCTCAGTTAATTTCATGGACAAACGGGTATTGTGTTCTCTGTGAAATTGTGAAAAAAAAGAGAATTTTTATTCATTTTAAGTTGAACTGTGAAAAGTATGTGGATCGTGCATTTGAGGATAAATTCACCACTCTGTGCAAACATTGGCCGCAGACATCCAAGCCAGCAACAAGTACATTCACAAAACTTAAGCGAAGAAATACAAATGAGCACATGGAGATCATTGGCATCATTCAATCGCTTGGCATTCCAATATGATCCCACTGCGAACTACAGTGATAATGAAAATTTAGATATTGGACCAATGGCGACTATATACACTGCCGCTCAACTGAATAGGTTCATGATCTCAGAGAAAGTAATTTGTCTATAATTTCTAAACCAGTGTACCGATTTCCAAAATTTTTTTTTCTTTAACTCTTGAATCATTTTATAATAAAATGCTGAAGAAGGTTTTTCAAAAACATATTATTTATTCCTTATTTAATTTTTCTTCTGAAAGGTTAACAAAATTCATGGTTTTTTTTTGGGTCATCTGAATAGGTTCAACCTAAAACAATTAAAATTATTTAAGTAACTAAGGATAATTTTCATATTTTTTGAACTTGGCTGATACTTATGAACATTTTTAGAGTACATTTTACTAATTTTAATAAAAAGTGAACCCTCCGTTGTCCGATATAACATCATATACACGACCGGGAAGCGAGCTATACTAATTGTGCAGTATTTGCAGTGAAATGGTTGTCCAGGCTATTTTAATTGCCTTAACTAAAGTTGTTTTGCAAGAAAATTACCTGCCTCCTTCATATATCTTGCGCGATAGCAACCCCATACGATTTCGATTATATTAAGGTCAGGTGAATATGGGGGCCATTCAAGTAAGTCCACATTTTGAGCCTTAATCCATTCTTTTACCACCCTAGCTGTATGATGAGAGCGTTATCTTGCTGGTAAGACCATTTGATAAAGTGAAAAGTATTTGAATAATCAGGAAACGTAGCCTTTATGATAGATTTGTAGGATTCCGCGCTCATTTTAGAAGTAACAAATTAGAGGTCGCAAGTGCCAAAGACTGATACCGACCCCCACACCAAAATCAATTTAATTTAGAAGCGTAAATCAATAGCTACAACTATTATTATCACGATCTTCGAAAGGAAGAGCATTTCCTTAGCCGTTGTCATAGCTGTGAGGGTGGGGTAATGGTGTGGGGGTCGGTATCAGTCTTTGGCACTTGCGACCTTTAATTTGTTACTTGCAAAATGAGCGCGGAATCCTACAAATCTATCATAAAGGCTACGTTTCCTGATTATTCAAATCCTTTTCACTTTATCAAATGGTCTTACCAGCAAGATAACGCTCTCATCATACAGCTAGGGTGGTAAAAGAATGGATTAAGGCTCAAAATGTGGACTTACTTGAATGGCCCCCATATTCACCTGACCTTAATATAATCGAAATCGTATGGGGTTGCTATCGCGCAAGATATATGAAGGAGGCAGGTAATTTTCTTGCAAAACAACTTTAGTTAAGGCAATTAAAATAGCCTGGACAACCATTTCACTGCAAATACTGCACAATTAGTATAGCTCGCTTCCCGGTCGTGTATATGATGTTATATCGGACAACGGAGGGTTCACTTTTTATTAAAATTAGTAAAATGTACTCTAAAAATGTTCATAAGTATCAGCCAAGTTCAAAAAATATGAAAATTATCCTTAGTTACTTAAATAATTTTAATTGTTTTAGGTTGAACCTATTCAGATGACCCAAAAAAAAACCATGAATTTTGTTAACCTTTCAGAAGAAAAATTAAATAAGGAATAAATAATATGTTTTTGAAAAACCTTCTTCAGCATTTTATTATAAAATGATTCAAGAGTTAAAGAAAAAAAATTTTGGAAATCGGTACACTGGTTTAGAAATTATAGACAAATTACTTCCTCTGAGAGCATGAACCTATTCAGTTGAGCGGCAGTGTACCGATATTGCAGTACGTTAAAGTTTAAAAGAGAAAGGGCTGGATTGTGCTGCGCAAGTGGAAAAGTCAAACTGGAAAAGTGTTAAATCACCATCTTTCTATACTTCCATATATTTTAAAAATGTTGCAACATTGACTATTATGTTGTTAAATTGTGTTGACCAGCGAAGCGGACACAGGACCTCTAGTCCCCAATAAACCTAACGTAAAACCTTTCGCCAAGCTAGTCATAATGGTTTTGTAGCTCTACCTACTTGTTCTCTTTCTTCAACCTTTTTCGGTGCTAGTCCCTAACACTGCATAACCTGAGTTTTAGTGTTTTTGTATTTAATTTTTAATAACAAATGTGTTCCTGTCCGAAAATAAGTGTTTTTAATGATGTGCTTCGACTCATAATGTGAAGACTAATACAATGGCAATTTTTCATTACATTAAATTATTCTAAACATTTAACGAGGCACAAGAGACAAATCTTTATGATTGACTCTTATTTTAATCCACGCAAAGCAATGATCTTAGTTGTTTCTATTTCGATTCCACCAGAATAAAATACCTATCAAATTGAAACACCTCTTGCTTTACTTACAATAGTGCCAATAGGAATGGAGTGAACTTTCTTTATGTATTAAACAAGAAAGGAAGCAAGTTTCGGCGAGCTGAAACTTATATATTCTTGCAGTCAATACTATAATTAAAGGTTATTTTTTCAGTGATAAAACGAACTAAACAGAACTTATCAGATTAAGAGTGCCTGGTGGACCAGCAGGTAGAGCGCTGGCCCACAAGCCAAAAATCAACTCCAAGCCCTCCCCTCGAAAAGAAAGGATAATAATAATAACAACACAAATTCGACTCCTCAGACACAGCAATAAAACTTTCGTGTAACTACTTATTATAGACCCTCAAACATCAATAAGATCACAATTAGAAAGAACGATTCTTAATCATCGTTTTCGCCGCCGCACAGTGGGCGATTTGGTCTCGCTAGCGGCATTTAATTAATAACTTCTAAAATAAAAGAGATGTGTTCAGATTCGCGATCTGGTGATCACGGTGCCAATACTTGCGGAGAGTTTGGGCAAAGCTCATTGCAGCGATAGCTCCGCTGCTGTTGGCGGGAGAGAGAGAAAATCAGTCTGATTCTGCACTGCATCGCGACGCTGACGGAGCTGCGTTTTTCTTTGATTATTGTTTGTTATATATAACCGACTCGAGACGAAATAAATAATGAAATTATATTGTTTAATTCTGACCCCGAGCTGTCGGCACAACTGAGCCTGATGACCCATGAGGGGACCGTCTGCAAACATTTTTGAACAATTTAATTACAGTAGAATCCTGTTATAACGACTCCGCTTATAGTGTCCGTCCGGGTTGCGCGACGAAAACTCGATGGTTTGGTTGGTCCCCATACAAACTTATATGAAAGGGCCTCCGCTTAGAGCGTTTCCGCTTTTAGCGACAAACCGCTTATAAGAATGAAATTTTTCAAGAAAATTGAA